GGCCGGGCACCGCAGCATCCCCGCTCCTCCCGGCCGGCAGCACTAAGGCACCGCCACCAGCAGGTGGCAGGCGAACACCGAAAAGCCAGCTTTCCCCTCAAATTTTAAAGCCGGGAATCTTTCGAGCAGTTGCCTGTTGCGCTTTGGGAATTTCTGCAAATAATGAAGGCTTTCTGATTGGGAACAGGTTATATTTCCGTGGCTTATCTATGGATTCTTTGTTTCCTCCAATTTCATTTGGTAGAACGAACTCCTAACAGTGAACTCCGACTTGTGCAAGCTGTTGGACCGGGACCCACTGAATCCCTGAAACCCCGCAGTTAGAACGGTTTAAAGGCTGGATTTTCAAAGGGATGTTTTAAGGCACCCACACCACTTGGGTGCCTAATTTCCATCCCCTTCAACGGAAATTAGAAGATGCAGGAGAGCACTGGATGCCAACTGAATTTTCTCAAATGACTACTAACAAGACGACAGAAACAATGGTTGGAAGGCATTCTAATGTTTGGTTTTCAAATATTCTTTAGCAGAAGCTCAAGCCTGATTTTATTATGTAGACTATAACACTTTAAAAGCATAGGTAAAACTTTGGGAGTCTTTAAAGACACAGAACTACGCTACTCCTGTAGGCATGGAATAAGTTAAGAAGCTTTTTGGGAACTTTCAATAAAAATCACGCGGACATAAAACTCTAAAATTGACAACAACCTGTTTTGTTGAATCCTGAAACAAAACAGTACCATTAGTACTTACGAAGTGATTTTACGTGTAATTAAGATTCAGCATTCCTAGACATCAAACGCTCCCATTTACAAATCTGTGTCGAAGTAATGACAAACCTTATTTTCCACACTTCTTGTAATACGCCTTAACTACAAACCGCACACAAATGGTGACAAGTGGAGCTCAATTTAAAAATGTCAAGTGAGACAGCAGCGAAAGCACAGCTGTGAGTCTATCAGATCAAAAGCAGCTGGTTCTTAATTAAACAGACAAAAAGATTAGATTTCCAGGGAACCTGTAGTTAATTGGTTAACCAGTAAGTGATTAATCTAGGATAACTAAATTAGTCGGATTTAGATGAAATCCAAACAAGTGTTCACAGTAGATGTAAAATGCATTCCATAACCTAAGTGACAGTAACAGACTATTAACGTTGCGCGGTTGAGCATGCATAAGTGAGCGGTGCCAACATGAACGCTGCATGAGATACTTCAGCGTATTCCTCAGAGAGGATTTCGTTTATACACATATCTATCTGTGTAAATAAAGCACCACATTCTGCAATCCTTAGAATTTTAAGCCGCATTTATAAACATTTAATACAGCAATTTGTTAACTTATCTAAGTCTTATTATCAGTAACAGGCATTCTAGCAAATTTGAAAACTCGAAATTACTTTAAAAGATGCTCAAGAGGCTTGATTTGCTTTATAAATAAAACCAATGTTTACCAGTATTCAGATTGTTCTCTAACTTTTTATACCAAGCACACGTTAATTATTGCTTCTAGCAATTCAGTATAAAATAACGTGAATTCTTTTGAAACAAGAGGCTTCTCTACAGCATAAATGCTTTAGCACTAAGAGTTTGGAAAGCTCAGGGAGTAATAACCAGAATTATTAAACTATTACTATCCTGTCACTTGCTCTCAGATAAAAAACTCTGGGGAAAAATCCTCAAATTATGAAGAAAGCTTTTGGCCCTGTAAATGACGAATTTCAAGAAGATTTTGTTCTTTTTAAACACTAGAGAAAACCCTCACTGGATGTCTTCCATGCAGAAAGCAATTTTATACCATTTCATGTTTATACCATTTCATTCAGCAGATAATTTAAATTCAGGAAGATTGGTAGACTAACATTAAACTAATCAGATTTGAGTGTACTGATACTTGGTCTGCAGAGAAATTTTGAAAAGGCCAGATTAAACAATGGAATATACAAAGGATATGGAAGAAAAACATAATCAGACAGAATTGGTCAAACTGGTCTGCTGTAGAGATACTCAGACTAAGGCCAATCACAGCTGAAGAATTAGGCAAGTTCCTACAACCTGAAGCTCCTGCTGTCCAATCTGGCAGTGATTCAATTCTACCACTGCACCCACCTCAGCAGCATTACTCTCTGCTCGTTTAGTTAGACTGGCTACAACCACAAGCTCTTCTCAAAACTACAGAGATCCAAAAAAGCAGACACTTGAAAGAACAGCAATGGCTTTTGACCATTCCTCCAGTTCCATGCATCAGGGAACGACAACTCAAATTTTGTTCCCTATGCCGCTACACAGATGGTCAAAATTGATCCTGGCCTTGGAGCAAGCCAATCTGAACACAAAATACACTTCTAACTCTCAGAAAGCTTCCACAAACGAGGGAATTAGCTCTGAAAAGAAAGGTTTTTTACAGAGGCTGATGCAGCAAAATAAAAAATTACAGTGACACTGTACCTCTGTCCCTGATCCAGATCCCGGCGAATCTACTTTCCTTTTCTTCCTGGGACCGATCGCAGCTAATGCAGTCAAGTTGGCATCCCTCTGTCTCATCTGTGCTAGCTCTTGTTGCTGCATCTGCATTTGCCAGAACAAGTACAGTTAGTTATTTCTCTTTCCATTTCCAAACTAAAAGTTCGCGTTAAGGTGAACACTTACCTCCTTGGCCTTCTGTTTCAACCTAAGCTGTTCAGGATCTTCTTGTCGAGATCGAGACTATGTTGATAAAAGATGAGCACGGAATGATTGGAAGAAAAAGAAATAAAAACTATTTCAGTTACAAAAGCAGTTAAAGATTGTAAGTTTTACATCACATACGAAAGTTTCAGAAAAACTGCAGCTGGAAGTGGAGAATACCTACCACCCCCAGAGAAGACTAGGTGTGAAAATCTTTTTTACAAATTAAAAGCAGTTTTCCGTTTCTTAGTTTTAGGGATCTGTTTTTGAACAAGCATCCCCTTTTTCAGCTTTGCTACAAACAGCAAAGGAATAGCTAAGCATTTATGCCTTAAAACCGTTACAAGACACAAATTACACAGTTCCATGAATTGAAATACACACACCTGGCATGTAAGAAAAGGAATCAGACCTGTATTTTGGGAAAATACCCCCCTTTGCTGTGTAACTATGCACTTACTAAGAACACATCTTTCTACCACACCTACAAGTCAGACTCCGTTTGAACAAACCGCAGCCAACAAACCACTTATATTAGCAATTGTCCATTTCGCTCTGGCACCCACAATTCCTTGTACATATCACACTTTAAGAAGTGACAGAACACATCACTTCAGCAAACTTTACTTGCTAATACTATTAACACACATTTGCCCATTCATTTTTTTGCTACATGTATCCATTCTCTTAGTTCCCTGTTTTTTTCCCCGAAGAAGTTAACAAATAGAAAACAGGAAGAACTTCAGGACAGTCTTTCACAGAAGGCAAGGCTAACTATATTCAAACAAATCCTGACTGTTGTTCATCCCATACATTCTTCGGACCAGCAACACAAGGAATTATTTTAATTCAGTGCTCAAGTACCCTTAAAATGTCAAGCTTTTCCTAATGACTGACCTATGTCTTCCCTGCTGCACTTTAGGCACGGCAAGAATTACATGAATATGCAGAATACAGTCATGAACACTTATGGTTCACCCCAGATTTTTCTCTTCTGAAGTAAATGGATTTACTCTCCAATCATACTTCACAGGTCACATTTTCTAGACCTTTGAATTGCTTGCCTTCTGAAGTCTACTTGGTGTAGGGCCTGAAAACTGGCTGGAGTATTGCTCCAGCTCAGGTCTAACAGGAACCAACTGAAATGAAGGTGTTAGTTCACAACTTATGTGCGAACACTGCACTCCAAAAATTGGATTTTGACATTATCAACTCATACTGGATCACAAACCCAACAGAAACCTTGGGTGGTTTTATTAATTATTTCTAGAGTGCTCCTGCCTTGCTAGTCATATTCATCCTATGTTCAGGTCACTGACTAAAACCTAAAAGTTTAATGCTTACATTTGTGCTTATATCAACTGTTTCCTACTTATTGTACTCCTCCAACTTGTAAAAATGTTTCTGAATTCTATTTCTAGTCTCCAAAACACCCGTAACATCTTTATTCCATTTAATAGTACTGCCAAGCTATAAAATCCATCCTTTTCACAATGCAAAGTGCAAAAACTAAATTTTAAGACATACTTTAATTTGGGAACATGCAATGAGACTGGCAAAGAAGCTGTCTCACATGCTTTACCATGAAAAGCAGAACCGAGCTCTAGCTAAAGAACATATTCATCAAGCTCCATCTTTGAAGATTAGTCTTCCCCTTCATTGCAAGTGCTTTAGAATGAAATGAAACTCCGCACTTTTGACGTCAAAAATGACACTTTGCAAACGTGTGAAATCCAAGCACTTGCCTTTGCTGCACGCATTAAAATTTCCCTTTCTTGTTCATCTTTACGCTGCTTTTCTATTTGATCAAGTTGTTCAAAGAACTTGAGCTGTGCCCGAACGTCACTTGCTTGTTCGTATCTTTCATCATCCTGAAAACATAGCAAATATGTTTCTCATTACATTCCTTAAAAACAAAGCTGTTAACTTGTTCTGTACTGCAGAAGAACATACACATTTAAAGCTCAAATGTTCACTTTGTCCTTTTCAAACAAATAGCAAGTGTGTATTTACACCAGTCAAACGAGCTAGAGTTCTTAAAAGCATTTTGTTCTATTCCATGAATCATCAGATTTTGACTTCTGAACTAGTACCATCACAGCTTTAACCTCACAAACAAATTTCACAGAGGTCTGTGTGTTTTTTTTAAATGCTGCTTAGGCATTTGCATCTATTAAGAACACACATCTGTCAGTCAGACAGCAGTCTCTTGAGAATTCAAAGCAGTGCTTGTAGCTGCCTATCTGATTGTACAATCACTCACACTCTGAACATCTGACATAATAAAGGGGAGGGTACAGTTTCTCAGCATTTGTTTCAAAAACATTCTGTATATGCAAGCTGAAGAGTTCTAGTCATCGTGTGTACTAACATCTTCATATCAGAGAATAAACCACCGACCTTCACAGAATGCAGAGCACCTCAAGTCACACACTGCAGCCAGGACAGCCTGCTGAATTGCTGCAATTTTGCCTTTTTATTTGTGCAATTAAGTACAGTTACCTTGTAAGAAATATTCTTCTGTTGAGCAGTCTCCGATAATTTTTCCACGAGGTTTTGTAGTCTTTGTTGTGTAGCATGTGATACGTAGCTAACTACATCAGGATGGATTTCTGTTATTCCGTGTTTTTTACCTACGATCAGGACAGAAGTCAGTTGTAAAACAGGATTTTACAATACAGTTCCACATCTCAGCCATGGAAATTTAAATGCCATTTGCAGAATAAGGCTTTCAGGTATTTCTCAGGCACACATTAAACAGGAAATTGCGAAGATAAAAATTTACATTAGCTTAACAAAATGTACAATCTTTCAATAAGTGCTGTATACTACAGTATAACAAATAACTGAAGAATCTTTTTGGTTCTACCATCAATTCTGAACTAGTAAGTAAAAATGGTAAAAGTGTTTCTAGATTTATTTTTAAAAAACAAACATCATTGTTTTTGTAACACGTTCTCAGTTTATACAGTCAGAATTTCAACCAGGTCCAGGAATTCTGATGTTAAACTGGCATCGTTTCAGAAGGCAACTCCGTAGGTTTGCCATCCCTTATCCCTGTTCTACTTTCATAAGCTGAACAACGGCCCACAAGCATCAGCCTTTACAAAAGGTAACTCCAGCAACTTTAAACTAGTCAAACCAATTCCTAGGGAAAATGCCTTCAATTAAATCCAAGGCTAGTGAAGTTTGTTGGAAGTTCAAGAAAAATCAGCATACCTATTTCTAATATCCTTCTTTGTAAAGGTGCTGGGAAAAGGAAGGTTTCATCTTTACAGGACCTCGTTAACGTGCCCACTAGCTCAGAGTTTGTTGCCAATATCCGAGCACTTTCTTCTGACAGGTTGACTCCAGCCATTGATGCAACATCATTAATGTCGTCGTCATCCCTTAAGAAAGGAGAACTCATTATAACCGTAACATTTAGTGCCCATCTGCACACACTGCTACAATACCACGGCAAACCTGAATACTTAATTTCATTTTTGCATTTTATTTGCTTTTATTGTATGATAAAACAAAACTAACATGAGTGGATTCCTAAGAGCACAAAAATTATTTTCACCGTTTTGTACTTCCCATTTTCTCAAGATCCTTTCTTACATAATGTAGCAACACCTTGAGAAACAAGAGACCAGACACATCACTAGCACAAAACAGTAATAAACTGCACACCCCACTAAAGACAGGCTGTACTTCCAAATAACCTGAGCAGAGCTGGAAGGAGTGAAGGAATGAACTCTCTTTGCCCAGGAATGAGGCCTTGACCAACCTGGTCTAGTGGAAGGTGTCCCTGCCCATGGCAGAGGGGTTGGAACTAGATGGTCTTTAAGGTCCCTTCCAACCCAAACCATTCTATGATTCTATGATTTACTTGCCC